TCTCCACCACCTTCTCCCTTCTCCCCTTCCTCCTTCTCCACCACCTTCTCCCTTCTCCCCTTCCTCCTTCTCCACCAGCTTCTCCCCCTCCTCCTTCTCCACCACCTTCTCCCTTCTCCCCTTCCTCATTCTCCACCAGCTTCTCCCCCTCCTCCTTCTCCACCAGCTTCTCCCCTTCTCCTTCTCCACCACCTTCTCCCTTCTCCCCTTCCTCATTCTCCACCAGCTTCTCCCCCTCCTCCTTCTCCACCAGCTTCTCTACCACCTCACCATGCTTCACACTTCTGCACATGAGATCGCTGGAAGTGACGTCACGAACACGCGATTACATCTGATTGGTTATAACACAAACCACGTGACAAAATATGCAAATTATCTCCTGTACCGGCCTGAATATAGACAAAACCGATTTCCTTCTTCCCTCATGCGATGCGCCCGCCCGCCTGCCCGTCCGCCTGTCTGATTTCCTTCTTCCGCATGCGCCCGCCTGCCCGTCCGCCCGTCTGATTTCCTTCTTCCGCATGCAGCCCGCCCGCCCGCCCGCCCGCCTGCTCGCCTGCCCGTCCGCCTGTCTGATTTCCTTCTTCCCTCATGCGATGCGCCCGCCCGCCTGCTCGCCTTCCCGCCTGCCCGTCCGCCTGTCTGATTTCCTTCTTCCGCATGCCCCCGCCCGCCCGCCCGCCCGTCCGCCTGCCTGTCCGCTTTCCTCCTTCCCTATGCGCCCGCCCGCCTGTCTGATTTCCTTCTTCCCCATGCGCCCGTCCGCCCACAAGCCTACCAGCAACGGCAGCATCTTGTCAGCATTGTGAAACCTTTTAGCCCAGCAAGCAGCCGAACAGCAACGTCACGTCGATCGGCGCAAGAAAAAGCAGACGGCTGCGATGGATTCTGCAGGCAGTCCCATTCCACCCGTCTTTCTATCTCTTTCTCTGTCTCTCTCTCACACGCTCTCTATTTCTTTATCTCGCTTTCTCTCTCTCTCTCTCTCTCTCTCTCTCTCTCTCTCTCTCTCTCTCTCTCTCTTGCGCGCTCTCGCTCTCCCATAACAAATATAAATAGGTACTTGTAAGCCGGTTTCCCTTGATCCATGGTTTCCTTCTCATCCTCTCCCCAGTTTACTTCTGAATCCCTTCCCCTGGTTTACCTCCGATCCCCCCTAGTTTATTTCCGACCCCTTCCCTCTGGTTTCCTTCCAACACACCTTGCTTTACAATACATCCGACTCCCTGACCCCTGGTTTACTTCCGACCTCCTCCCCCTAGTTTACTTCTGACCCCCTCATTCTGGTTTACGTGCGAGCTTTGTGCGCTTGACTTACTTAGCTACTTGCGTCCTCGTCTCAAAATCCAGACTTTTCATGGACGTCTTTACTTCCAGGCATCCGACGTACTGCAACGAGAGCAAACTCCGTTCATATAGTTATGTAGGTACATCAGTAATTAATGGAATGAGACCGAGGAAAAAAAGGAAATGCAGAAAAATGAGGGAAGGTGGAAGAAGCAGAAGATAATCAAGAAGAAAAAGAAGTGTAGTGGAGGAAGAGGAGGAGGAGGAGGAAGAGGAGAAGGAGGAGGATGAGGAGGAGGAGGAGGAGGAGGAGGAAGAGGAAGAAGAGGAGCGGTAGGAGGATGAGGATGAGGATGAAGAGGAGGAGCGGTAGAAGGAGAATGAAGAGGGGGAAAGAAGAAGATAAAGAGGAAGGGGAATTGGAAATAAAAGGCAAAAAACATGACAATCAACAGCAAAAAGGAAAGACAACATCAACAATAACTACATTAATACCATCAGCAATGAGAACCGCTATGATAATGACGAACAAGTAAAAAATGATAGGCATGCAGCGACGAAGATGACAGAAGTAATAACATCACACAGGTGTTTCTAATATAATGCACTACCTCCGTGCCAAAATTGTCAGAGCATACAGAATATATTTCTGGGCCACAAGCTGCCACGAGGCAGGCTCAGTGATGTGAGGCAGGCTTATAATTGTGTGTGCGAGCACGCACGCACCACCCTCTCACACGCACGCACACACGCACGCACTCACTCACATACGCATGTAGACACGCACATGCACGCACGCACGCTCGCACGCGAGCAAGCGCCTATCATGCTAGATACAACTAGAGCACTCGGAGAGCACATACCTCTGCCAAGGCAGCTCAATTATCTCACTGTGAAAATGTTTATTAATTAATTAATTAATTAAATAATTAATTGGATCCGGATCACGACCAAAATGTAATCAATTCTAAGTTACCCCATTTCTGACCTATCCTGAAAATTTTCTTAATTACTTAATTAATTAATTAATTGGATCCGGATCACTACCAAAATGTAATCAATTCTAAGTTACCCCATTTCGGACCTATCCTGAAAATTTAATTAAGTACTTAATTAATTAATTAATTGGATCCGGATCACCACCAAAATTTCATCAATTCTAAGTTACCCCATTTCTGACGTATCCTAAAAATTTAATTAAGTACTTAATTAA